GGAGAGGGGGTGGCCCTCTCCTTCCTAGGACCTCAAGGCACTATCCTCACCTCTGAAATCCCTTAAGATTTCAGTGGTGAGGAGGCCGAAACACCAAGGTCCCGGAGCTCACTCAAAATAGCACAAAATGGGGCCTCTCAAGGCCTAAGAGGGGTCAAACACCTACAAACCACAAAACACTCATGCTTACCGAGTACTCCGTGCCAAAACAATAAACTAGTTAGCCAACATGCATGGTCCTAGGTCATGTCAAATTGACTAATGCAACACATACAGGATGCAATTTAGAGTAGGCTCGGCTAACCTAAACATGGCTTGTGAGATGCAATCAGTTGATACACGTATTCAATTTGGAATTGAATTACAAATGCAGTTAGCATGATGTACCGAGCCTGGTGCATGTAAGACAAATGTATGGATGCACGTATGCGTAGCATGAGGTATGCTAATTTAAACATGCCCTAATCTACCTTCATAAGCAGGTAAATGAAAGGGAAGAAAGAAGTGGGGGTTGGAAGACATGCACACACACGCACACACACTTATTACAGATTCGCCCTCGCTCGGAGGGACCAAATAAATATTACAGATAATTAACCTACAAACTAATTAATTATTACAAATCACCTAATTAATTAACAAATTAACTAAGCATAAGAAAAGCAATAACAGGGGCCTCGGGAAGAGGGTTCGATGCGCGCGTGCTCGATCCTGCTCGGAAGTGCACTGCCATGCACAAGCTGCCTCTGTTTTCCCTGATATACTCCTCTGAAGGCTGCCAAAGTCTCAGGATTGCTTCCCTAGACATTGGGAGACACCACCGGCTGAGTAGAATGGCCACCGGCAGTGGTATGTGATCACCGGCTGTTGGTGAAGCTATGGGCCCAGGAAGGATTGCCAGTCGGCACTTAACACGGCCGGTCGGCAGAAAGTTCCTGCAGAATCTGCAATTGACAGCAGCAGAGGGCAAGGCATAGCATGGCAATGCAATTCAAGCAATGTATGCACCAATCCTATCCCTTATCATGTGTATGACTCAAAGGGACATGGTCCTTGGTTCTCGGACCATCAATCGCGCATTTCCATGCGTGATGGCCCAAAGAATCAAATGTGCATTTTGATATGGAATGCAATGCACATAAACAAACCAATGGGACTCAACCTCTATCACAAACATTTCAAGGGGCCAAGCATGCATGCAAATGGAGTGCAATCCTAAGCATGTGAACTAAGGATGTGACATAGGAATGCAAGGATGCTACCAACACGCATGCAATGTGTAGTGCCAATGTGCACACATGTGAAGCATACAACAAGTTAGATAACTTGGCAAGGAATACATGCTAAATGTAATACCACCGTAGAATGTAACAACATACCAAAGGGGCCAAATGTATTACAACATGCAAGGTAAGCATGCTACAACATAAGGGGGACTCTCAAGCACACTTGAAAGAGGCATAATGTGGACTAATAGCATGCAAGATAAACATTGAAAATCATGTTAAGATGGTGCCAAACCAAGCAAACAAAATAGACTAAGCATGCAATAAGTGGCCCAAATACTTGAAGCAAGTCAAAGGGGCTTGAACCATGACCAAGTCAACCAAGCCTCACAAGGATAAGAGGACTTAAAATAGGTTCACGACAGACCTAGACCATGCAAAGGGGACCCCCCTAGATGGCATCTAAGTGGCTCAAATTCAAAGGCATGTACAATGGCCAAAACATGGAACATGCTACACAAGCTTTCAAAGCATTAAAGAGGTGTCCAAGGCAAGCATACAAGCATGTCAAAGGGACTGAAATTACATGACAAATGGTCCCAACCCCAAGTATGACTCAAGCAATTTAAAATAGAGCTAAAGCATACAAAAATATGCACTAAAGCTTCACAAAGCTAGGCCTAAAATATGCTAGAACAAGAGCTTATAACCTAGGGCATATTAAGGCCTACACATGGCATTACAAGGTAGGTATGCTAAACATGCATGGTGTACCAAAACCAATCAGCTAAGGCATGGTCAACATGAAGCTTAGCTAGGTGCGCCCTCAAGAGGCCAAAAATGGTCCATTTCAAGGACAACAAGGAGATGGGGTGGCCCTCTCCTCCCTAGGACCTCAAGGCACTATCCTCACCTCTGAAATCCCTCAAGATTTCAGTGGTGAGGAGGCCCAAACACCAAGGTCCCGGAGCTCACTCAAAATAGCACAAAATGGGGCCTCTCAAGGCCTAAGAGGGGTCAAACACCTCCAAACCACAAAACACTCTAAACAAACTATTTAGAGGGCCTAAAAAAAGAACTTTTTTATATTATACACTAAGCTCAAAAACAGTTCTAAGATAGGCAAAAATGCAATGCAAGAAAGGGGTAAAAAGGGGCAAGATTGTTATCCTTGAAGACCTCTTCAACAATGGTGGACCAGCTGCTCCTCCAAGCTCAAAACCACCCAAGAACCTCTAGAACAACCTCTTAGAACCTCAGTAGCCAAGGGAAGGTGTAACACTATGTGTTTGTGTGCAATAGTAAGACACAAATGCACTTATACACACACAAAGGTAAAAAGAAAGAGAGAAATAGAGATAGGTGAGACACAAACCCTTACCCCAACCCTAATCCAGAGCTCTCTTCTGTATATTTTCTAACCTTTTTGTCCAACCCTAAGGCCAAGAGAGGAGGGCTCATCTTATAGAGGAGCCAATCTTGTAAAGCTTACAAGGTAAGCTAACAAGAAGGCCATCCCTCCATACACGTGTATGGAGGGGAACAAAATGCCATACAGCTGTATTAAAATATCTGCAAAAGCAGATGAACAGTAGTCGGCTGCTCAAAATTTCCATCTTGACAAAATGGTCTGCCGACCGGCAACAAAGAATGCCGACCGGCAATATACATTGCCGATGGCAACAAAACACCAGCCGGTGGCCTCTGGCCATGGCCGGTGATGTGTGGGGATGCCTCACAAGGCATTCCCTGCCCCTCCAAGGCAAAACACAAGTGTTTGGTGCAAAATCAGACACTAAACAGTCGAGTCGAGAGATTCTGAGGCAAGGCGCGCAAGCCGAGACCTCCGGGAACTCAAGACGAACACAAACATGGATGATCACCGAGTGTTCAAACGGTGACGTCCAAGTCTTGAGGACGGTCAAAAATGGGGTGTCTACATCAACCAATTGACAATGTAATTATGGGGGAGGGCCATGATGATGTCCCGATTATCGGGTGAATCCATTATGCCGCATGCGAATGAGAACAACTGACCGCTGAGCTCTAATCCAGGCATGCTCATAAGCTGTGCAAGATAGTCCCCCACTGTGTTCTCACCTTTACCCGTGACAACGTATTGCATGATTTTTAGTTCCCTGCTTTGTTTGCTCACTACTTCCACGAGATTGTCCATGCTACTAGCGACAGTACCAGGCGCTGCCCGCTTGCGCCATTTTGCATTGGCTGATCCATCCACGGCTGACTAGGGGGGAGCATCATCAAAGAGGCTACTATCAACCACGTTCTCCCCGACAGTGTCATGGCCCGACTGTGGTGGTGTGCCTGCACTGAGAGGTCCCATCCCGCTATCCTCGTTGGCATTGGTTGCAGCAGCATCATCATCGCGCACTTCTGTTGGAGTCCATGCATGTTTCCTAGTCGCTGCTGCGCCAGAGTAGACCTGCTCCATGAGGTCCACGTGCTCTAGAGGCTTACTCTTGAATTTAGCACATCGGTTGTTCATCTGTGAAAGAGAAAAATCATTGACGTCAGTACGGCTGGAAATGTATTTGCTGCCCTTAAAGTGTACCACCAATGACAGTAATAGAGGCAAAACACATAAAGGGATTCAGATGTTGTAATTATGAAATAATAAATGTAACTGTAGTACTTAAGTGTACACATCGCACATTGTGGGTTGCCCAACATATGTTAAAGTAGTATGTTCAACAAGTGCTTTGATTTGGAAAAATAGTTATGTGAACAAAATATGGCAACTAAAATCAGCGATACTAGTACAACAGTACTGGGGAACATAAAAGCTTTGTGAAAACATACCGCTTGCATTTTGGCCCACCAATGGTCAGATACAGTGAACAAGTCTGTCTCATGGTCGTACATAAGCCCTGTCAAATTGTGGCTGGCATTCTCCAACTTCTTCCAGGTGACCCAATCTTTCTTCAAGTTATCAAACTTGTTTTTCATTTGTTTGGTTGAATGTAGTAGGCCGGTTTTTCATTTGTTTGGCTGAATGTACCCTGCCATGGACAATCTGCACAGTTGTCGATTACCACCTTCCATTTCAGCAATGATGAGTTGAAGAAACAGCTTTGTATTGTCGCTGTCGAATTGGCATTTGTGGACTGGCTGGGGTTGGGTTGCTGTGACAGCGTTACCTCCAGACTTTGAAGAGGTACGGGGTGATGATCGGTTTGTTGCCATGAGTAGTGTTGTCTTGCTTATAACATTTACAATGTAATATCAGAAAGAAATGAAGTACAGTACATAATGTTTGCATGGCCAAAAGTGAAATAAAAGTGTAAACACAATTACTACAGTAATAACAACAAACAGTACAACACTTTCCGAAAGACAAAGTTTGTTTGTACTACACGTTGGGGAAATCTTATGTAACAGGACCAAAACATCTAACTGACAGCAAAGTAAGTAGGTAAATGATAATAGTTGCGTCCCATTTGTAACCCCAATTGTGTCAACTTAATGGTTAAGGTAAAAAAACTCTAGTAGCACAGAATTCTACTACCACATAATAAGTTATTTTTGGTCTGTCAAACATATGTTTAAAGAAACAAAACTTCTACTAGCACAGAATCTGTTGCCCTCTTCATTCTTGACATTTCATATAAATTTTGTTGAATTAGTTTCACCTACCAAAACCATATTGGGTTGGTGTATAACCAAGTAAATTCCTTAGTATATTGTAATCTCGTAATAGGTTGTTTTTGGAAATGTCGTAATAAATTTGGACCCAAGAGTTGTTTGTTTTCAACAGATATCATATGACCAACCTTTTATACTTGAGGCATATCTCTATTATAACTTTTCTATAACTACAACCTTATTTTATTGCAGTTAGCCTCGTAACACTACCATGAGAATAGCAAGTGGTTCTCACATCGACACCAAAATGGTCTTCGTATTATTTTCTTCACACAAAACATTGATACGGAGGTATTTCAGGTGAGATTAACAAAAACAAATAATTTAAAATAAAATAAAATAAAAGAATGTAATAATAATGGCCTGCTTGGTTGAATAAGATCATATCCATAGGAATGTCTATGTATAACATTATTAACATATTATAAATTAATAGATGTCTATGTATAACATTATTAACATATTATAAATTAATAGAAAAAAACAAAAAAACTCATTGGTATGAAACTTATAAAACTATTGTAATAAGTCTCCTTTCATGGAGTATTAAATTGTGCAAGCATACAAAAAGAAAATTATTGTTTAATGATGGTCTTATTTGGTATAATTTATATAAAAATTTGAACCATTTTTTTTTTTTTAAATCTTAAAAACTTGTATAGAATTATTAAAATTTAAAACAAAATTTCTAATTGCCCAAACAGACTAAATAACTTTAATCTAATTTTGTTGGGTCATTACTTGATTTCAAGATTGGAATGATTATTTGATGATTTTAAAATATTATTTTACACCATTTATTATTTAACAATTGTTACACAATGTCAATTGACACTAATACATATCAAATTCATGCAAGGCACCAGGGCACAATGCTTAAAAAGAACACAACTGACCCCATATCATTTTGGTATATCAACACAATGCTAGTACAGTCACTGAAATTAATTAATTAAATGACTATAAACAAACTCTTCCAGACCAATTTCGAAACTATACAAACAATTGCATGATCAGAAGGTCTTCCCAACAACATCATAAAAGTCATATGAAGCAACAGAGTATGGTGTCCAATCCATGAAAGAGTGCAACTTTCATACAATAACTCCACTTCACCGTATATATTACATATATATATATATATATATATATCTACTACACTTTAGTTAATGGGATGCATTAGAATTCTTAGATCAATTTGTCATTGATCTAATCTGCAGGTGTTCTAAGTACAGAACACCTTGGTGTTTCAGATCGGATATACAATCATTTTTTCACATCCGAAATCACAAGTGCAAACCAATATGGACCAACCATTATCAATGTCATATATCACACAGCAGGTCATCCACAAGATCAAGAACAACTGCTGCCATGGTTTTGGGTTCGTCACTACTAGCGAGAAGATAGTAAATCGAAGACGGTTGTCGGCTTAACTGATGGTGCAGATCAGGCCAAGGCGAGGACGTGGACGACGAATCCGACGGCAACTTCGGCGGGGAACGGCAAGGTCGTCGGTTGTTCGAGGGAGTTACACAGTGCAGCTTCAAGGAGGATTTCGCAATCTCGACCAGACTGTGAATGAGGCAAATGTGACCTCGTTTTGCCCTAGGCCCCAATTTACATGAGATTAGGGTAGTTTGGTAAATGGCCGAGTTGCGTTTTTGGGTTTTCCTAAATGGTGTGTTCTGTGTTTTTGGTGTGTTCTGCGTTTTTTCCCTAGCCTAAAAACGCAGCTTTTTATCAAGCTTCCCAAAACAACACTACGTCTCATGAGCCAACTGTATGCCTTTATGGTCATCCCTCTATAGGTCAACTGTTTCTATTAGTAATAATGGATGTACCACGTATGATTAACTGTAAATTCTGATTATGAATATGATTCTGATTCCATTTCTATTATAAATACTAATATCTAAATAAGAATATGAATCCATTTCTGATATGAATCGAATTCTGTTTTCTGCATTTCTGACAACATTTATTAAACCTTTTACTTTGTTATTATTCATTGGGTTCTAGCTCACTATATTATTTATATATGTATGTGGCTAGGTGCGTAACCAGACTCAGAGTTGATTGCCTAGAGTTTCGTTTTGTCGGCCAATCTTTGTGCCTCCCGAAGAGGTTCCGAAAAGAGTCAAGTAGTCGAGTTTTGTGAACCAAGTTTAAGACTTTATTTTCTTTTACTGAAATCTGAACAATTTTTTGTTTATCTGTATATTAGGTTAAGTCTCATTCTGTTTTGTCTGTTTATTAGGTGACGTAAGACTGTTGGTTATTTAACGTGACGTCACTTATATGTATATAAAGTTTTAAATTTTCTGTCCCATGTATGTCTACATAGTTCTATGGACGTTGTATGTTTATATTTGCTTCCACTAGCCCCTGTATTCTATTTAATTTGTTCGAAGGCCTTTGGTAATCTCAAGATTACTGGCTAGTTACGGCACTAAACCTATAGGGGCGGGTTTTGGGTCGTGACAAAGTAGTTTTAGAGTACGTGTTCTACCACACACACGAGTCCATATGAGCTATAGGATGTCCTAGTAAGAATTAGGGACATGACATTACATCTGCATGTGTGAGTTTGTGATATCAAGTGAACATATCTGAACCAATATACATTGACACTTAAATGAAATAAACTGAAATTGAACATTGTGGATAGTATTAATTGCCTATGTTTATTAGTGCTCTGTTACCTATAGCAAATGAAGAATACAAGAAGTAATGATGCAACTGAATCCTTTGAGACTCGCATGAGCCGAATGGAACAAATGCTTGAAGCCTTAACAGAATCACTGAGACAGCAATAAAGACAACAACCTCTGCCTTCTCCGCCCCCTCCGGTCCAAGTCGAACCAGAGAACACCGACATCATCTCATTGACTCAAAAATTTACTAAGATAAAGTCACCAACCTTTCTAGGTGGTATTCTGCCATTAAAAGCCGAGACATGGATGCTAGAACTGGAGAAACTATTTGAAGTGTTTCTGTGTTCAGAAACTCAGAAAGTTCTACTGGCCACTTATACTTGACGTTGGTGGATATTGATTAGAAATGATATTGGGACCATGACCTAGAGTTCATTTACGGTAATCTTCTATGAAAAATGCTTCCCTCAGTGCTTCAGAGATCGCAAGGTTTCTAAATTTGAACAGTTAAAGCAAGACAACATGTTTGTGGCCGAGTATGAAGCTAAATTCACCAAGTTAGTCCGATTTGCTCCTCATCTGGTAAATTCAAACTACAAAAAGGCTCGAAAATTTAAAGGAGGCTTGGCTTTGGAGGTGTTTAATAGGGTCAGTGTATTAAAACTGCTCAAATACATGGATGTGGTTGATAGAGCCTTAATGGATGAAGCCAACTTAGCTGCACTGAAACAAATTAAAGCCCCAACAACTGAATAGAGAGATAGAAGATCTAGATTTAGTTTCAAAAAGATCAGTTCATTTGCTATGAATAAGAAGCAAAATACGGGATCTACTAGCAGTTCAAGTCAAAGCAGTGGATTCGCACCTGTTTATGCTGAATGTTGAAGAAGACATAAAGGGGTTTGTCATCGTGTATCTAGTGCTTACTTCCGATGTGGCAAGATAGGCCACATGATAAGAGATTGTCTAGTTGGATCTGAAAATACCAACCATCCTGCAGCAAATTCAGCTGCATCCACTCTTATATTGAGATCAAATGTAAGAACCAACACCAGGAGGAAAACCATAAGGCAAGGTAGAGTTTTTGCATTTGTGCCTAGTGATGTATAGAACACCGAATCAGTGGCGTCATGTAATAACCTGACCCTTGTACATGTTTTCTAATATACTTTCAGTCCCTTATTCTGTGCATTTAAATGCTTAATGTAAAGTTTCATGAGAAACGGCGCTGATTTCTATGGCACCTTACCGTTTTGCTCCAGCAGAGTTGGTTGAGTTGAAAGTTCAGCTCCAAGAATTGCTAGATAGGGGTTTTGTTCGCACTAGTGTTTCGCCGTGGGGAGCACCGGCCCTCTTTGCTAAAAAGAAAGATGGTGCCTTGAGATTGTGTATCGACTACCGGAAGTTGAATCGGGCTCCGGTCAAGAATAAGTACCCTATGCCCCGTATAGATGATTTGTTTGACCAGTTGAAGGGTTCCCGTTGTTTCTCTAAGATAGACTTGAGATCGGGTTACCACCAGTTGAGGGTCAGGGAGGAGGATATTCCAAAGACGGCATTCCGTACGCGGTATGGCCATTACGAGTTTCTGGTGATGCCATTCGGACTTACCAATGCACCGGCAGTCTTTATGGACTTGATGAACCG